CGCTCTCCTCCTTCAGGTCCAGTCTTTGTGAGAGAATTGGCAGGATGTCCTCATCCTCAGACAGCTGAGGCGCCCAAATTTCTGTCATACGATTGCGAAGAGCAGCCGAAAGCTCGCGTTTTCCGTAATCACCTCCGGGATTCATAGTGGATAAGAATTGGAATCCACTATCTGCCACAACCATTGAATCAACGGGACCCTTCTCGGCGAGAAGAATCGACCTAGCAGGTTCCAGAACACTATTAAGTCTTTCGAGAACGGAGTCATCCGCGAGAGAAATTTCATCAAGAAGGAAGAATTGACCAGTCTTCATGGCGGTGATCAGGCTTCCGTCAGACCATTCAAACAGGGCATTGCAGCGGATAGCGTTCTTCTCAATTTTCTGCAAAAGAAGTTGATCCTTGGCTTGACGCTGCTCCACAGTCAATGCTGTGAATTCCTGCTTCAAGTCATCGAAAGACGTGCCGCTCAGCTGCCCGTGAAGGAGCATTTGAAGGTCATCTACAAGCTGTTTCTCGATGGCAGCCCGGTTTCGGATAGGCCGTTGAGCACCAATCAAGTCACCGGTTTCCAAATTCACATGAGCGTTGACAATGAACAACTCGCGTCGGAAAGCTTCAGCGACGGCCTGGCAAAGCTGGGTTTTACCGCAACCGGTTTCTCCGACAAGAAGGACCGGCTCGTTGTTCTTGAGGGCCCTCGAAACGAGGACGAATAGACGTCTCATGGCTTTGGTCCACACAATACCGGCTGGAAGCTCGCTCATCCCAGGAGCATTCTTTTCCAGCTCTGCAGTGCTATACAAAGCATCCTCGTCCAGTTTCACCTTCATCACTTCCTCGATCACGGTCTTTACGGCGGCTTTCTCTTGAGGATTGCGAACACGTTCGCCGAGAAGCATATAACCGTTTACTGCTAGCTGCTCACGATCATCGGCATCACGATGAGCCCATCGGAAAAGATCACGCAGAGTGGCAAAACTGTTCTTTTGCTCGAAGAGTCGATTGGACTGGCGCAACAAGGACAATTTCCGGTAGACAGCAACAATCCGCGTGCAGAAGGAGGGGGCGATCTGAGAACGTTCCTTCAGGATAAATTCCAGCTCGCTTTCTGGGATATCATCGAAGTGCAGCTCGAGGAAACGGTTCCTGAAAGCACGGGACAGGACCTTTCGGCCACCGTACAGACCAGCGGGATTTTGCGTGGCAAACAGCATGAAGTTCGGGTGCGGGTGAACAATTTCTTGAGTCTCGGGAATGAAAAGCTCGCGATTATCGTCGAGGAGTCGGTTAAGGGCTTCAAGAACATCAGAAGGTGCCAGATTCAGCTCATCCAGCACAATCCAATAGCCGTTCCGCAGCGCCTCCACCAAAACACCCTCTTGATAACGCAGGCTTCCATCGTCCGTGGAGATGTAAGATCCCAGGTACTCTTGCAGATCCGTATGCTCGTGGTTGTTGATTCGTACAAATTGGTTCCCAGAGACCTTTGCCAGATACTCGATCATACTCGTCTTTCCGGCTGAGGTCGGACCTTGGAGAAGAACGGGGAATCGCCGGGTTGAACTAGCCCGGACCAAGTTCTTGAGATTCTTCTCGATGAATGGGGTAATGATGTAGTGTGGTTGCTCCTCCGGAACCATAGGACCGCGGCGCATCCAGTAATGCTTGAATTGCACATAATCGTTGCCATCCGTTGGCGGGCGAGGGGTCTGTCCGAGAAGAGACCTGGCGTTCTTCGCGTTTCCGAAGATATGAAGCTCAAGCAGAGGAATCAAAGCTCGTTCGGAGACCAAGCTCAGCACGGTCAAGAAACTCATACTGAAGCCCTCAAACATTGCCCTGCGTAGCCCATAGACATGCGCGTGGTCGATGACATAGATCAAGGCACGCACAAGGGTACGGATACTGAAATGGGGTCGCTGTCCGGCTCCATCGGTAAGCTTGTTCTCGTTGCTGAGCTTCTTGGTCACCATGTAAAGCTGTGCGAGATCTGGCACAGCACGCTGGTCACTGATCGTCAAGTCACCGAGGTATTTTTGAATCAAGGCCAATAAATCATCCAAGTCGCTATCGGGTGAGTGCACGTAGAATTCGGTGAACCGAGAACGCAGACCTGGGGGTAGATCTCTCTTTCCAGCATCTGTTGCAGGGTTCATAGCACCGAAGATACGGAATTCCGGGTGGCCGAAGACTCTCTCAACATCGCCAGCCTCGGATAGAAGAACAGATGGTGCTCCCTCACTGCCATGATGCAGAAGACTGGCAATATTCTCAAGGGTATCAGGGGAAGCCAAGTTGACTTCATCCAGGAGAACCCATTCGCCGTTTCGCAGAGCTCTCACAATCTTACCTTGAACAAAGGCGAAGGCAAATTTGGCATCGCCTTGTGAGACCTGCGCCTCGAAATCTCCGAGCTGGGTCGCGAAGCTCTCCCATCTTTGCCGCAAGTGCTGGTATTTGGGAGAATCCAACTTCCGCTTTTTAGCTGGCTGCTCATCGCCATTCTCCGCTGCGGCGTTCGGGGGATTGAACACGCCATTTGCAAGACGAACAGCTTCATGCCACAACGTTACCAATCGTACCCAATTGGAAGATGCGGCACTCTTCGATATCGAGGACAAGAACTTCTGGTTCTTTTTGGCCGAGAAAGTAAGCTCAAAGAGCTGGGTGAATTCATCCAGTATTGGAACTGCCATTGTACGAATGTTGACGGGTTTGAAACCACCCAGTAGATCAGTGCTTTCACTTTGTTGTGACAAATTCACTACTGTGAGTCTCTGGCGCATCAATGACGCAAGATGCTGGATCACTGTGGTCTTTCCGATGCCTGTTTCTCCCACAAGTAAAACAGGCTCTGCCATCTGGATTGAGGCAGCTACCTGTTCCATGAGGGTCAATGCTGCTCGAGTGGGAGCAAAGCTTGAAGCTGCTACGGCAAGCTTCAAAGCAGATCCACTCGGTACTTTGATCTTGTTGCAAGTTTCTCTACCAAGAACAAGGCTGTTGTTCTTGTCGGTATAAGAGGGAGTGCGTTCATTGAGACAGTATTGCGCTCGCTGGGGAGAAATCTGAAGCGTTTCGGCCACAACGGCGGCGAGAGAGCTCTGCATTGACTTCTCGGGCAGATATTTGAGGAACACGTCAACAATGTCGAGGAATATTTCATCCTCGGTACCTTCTGACGTGGGCTCATAGCCAGTCTTCACACCCATGCGGTGTAGACGATTATGCAGGCGGCTGCTTAACTTGATCAAATCGCGGAAGCCCGGGGTACGACCTTGGGAGCCCTTGATCGCAAGGCTTCCATGGAATGCAGAGCATACTCGTCCGTAGACATGCATGAGAGTTGGCACACGAGACTCAAGCAAGGAGAACTTTTGCAGGATGACATCACGCATCTCATCCACGGGAAGAGGCTTGATTTGCACTCTCTCCCAAAGTCTGCTTCCAAGCATTGAAGTGCTCGGTGCGATTTCCTCGCCGGCAATGTTGTATGATGACTTCATGGTTGCGATGATCTTGAAGCCCTCCGCACACTTGATTCGCTCCCTCCGGCTTGGGATGGTGAGCTCCCCCCTCTCAATGATCGGGAGAATGAGGCCCATTACTTCAGATGGAGCACGATCAAGGTCTTCAATCAACACCCAGCGACCTTCGCGTGCAGCCTTGGTCAATACACCGGGCTGCCAAGAGAAGGATCCGGAGGCAGATGAAGTGGCATACATCCCAAGCAGACTCTTCGCATCTGTCTGCTCGTTCAGGTGAAGCGTGACCATAGTTTCAGCCTGGCCCATCGTCGCAGCAACGTCGTTAATCAAAGAGGTCTTCCCGGAGTTGGGCAAACCGACCAACAGGATGGGCTTGTACCCCAGTAATGACCCTGCAATCCGGCGCAGGTTCCCAACTGTGGTCGAGGTCTTGACAACAGAGGAAGGAGCTGTGGGCGTATCTTTCAACCTGGGAATCAAAACTCCGCAAATCTCTGCGGTCTTGGTTGTGAAAAATTCCCGTGTCCTCTCGATCAACGCCAGTGTGTTGCTTTCCGTTCTGGAAGACCTCTCGGCACGGATAATTCTTCCAAGAGTCTCCCATCGCCGTTCTTCCCACAATCCTAGCACACGGTAATCGATTAGAGTGCCCTCCCACTCTCCTTCTACAGGTTCGGTCCCAGTATTGACGCGGATCATTTTTTCGGTTGCCGCATCCGCCGCGTGCATATATAAGGCAAAGCATCGTACAGCAAGGTATCGTATCACTCGGTCTTGGGATTGGAAGAGGGACTGAAGTTGAAGCGGTGAAACGATGGGAGAGAAGGTCTCAAGATCAAACGAAAGAAGTCGGAAGAGGGCGAGGAGTAGAAGTCTAATGGTAGGTTGGTCCAACTGTAACAGTGTTAATTCCTTCGACACGGCCAAAGCCGCCAAAGGTCCAGTCTGTGATGAGGCATATTGACTGGCAAGCGACCGCAGATGCGGCGCAAATGGTAAAATCTGCGCAAATGCCGCTAATACATGAATGTAGTCAGCATGTAAATCCGATTGAAGCCATCGAGCTGCAAGATCGACAAAAATCGGTTCGTAGAGTCTGAAAATGCTCTCCGTAAATTCGTTGTTTAATGCGCCAAGCGCAAGCGCGTGGAGGTGCTGAGTCCCCGATGCAGTCCGAATGAAAGTCGAGATTCCACTCGGAAGCTGCTCGAGCAGTTCGGACTCAGTAAGAGTCCTCTCATAGACCGGCCTCCGATCCATGTTTAATCCGGTCGTAAGAGGAACTGTGAAGGTTGTAATAAGAGAGGAAATCCCGCTTCATCGGCTTTCGCTCCAACTTTTTTTTCTTTCTGCCGCCTGTGGCGCAGCCCCACCTAGACCTAAAGCACACCGCTTTTGATCGCAGAGCTTGCGCCACACTTGCGTGGCCAACAAAGCTGTCCTTGAAACAAGGTCGGTTTTACGAGGAGATGCTGATATCGCGATATCGCGGTTCATTTATGTTGCACTGATGCCAATGAGTGGTCAGGGCTCGGGTGGCGAGGGCCAATCCGGGACGCAACTAAGAGCTGATCAGGACCTCCTTCAGCCTCAAGAAGTGAATCGGGAAGCTGAGGGGTTACATGAGCCGTATGCCTTGGAGACTTCACCTTTCGTTATGGTGCTCACCAGTTTATCTATTTAGGATCTCCTTCAAACGAAAGCAAAAACAACGATCACGGTTCAGTCTCTCTAACCTTCTCTCCCCTCCCGCCGGCGGATCGGATACTGGATTTGGCTCTCCGGCGCCGCAGGGTGGTCAGAACGGCGATGCGTCCCCTACTGATCCTCACTCGCCGATAGGATTCAATAGCGGTGTCGGCGCAGCAAAAGATGGTGCGCCGTTGGACTGGTACGTGGAAGGCCCAGGACGACGTGTGGGTTACGACGACTTCACCGCTATCGATTGGATCTACGAATATACCAAGGAGCGGCAAAGGAAGCGGCTTCTTTACTCGAGTGGACAGGGTCTATTGGGGCATGCTCGTCGACTGCTTGACGCAAGCAATGTCTGGTTAGTGTTGATTGCGACGGGCATTGCTGTAGGAATAATCGCTGCTTCTATCGATATTACAACGGATTGGCTGGGTGACCTGAAGTCCGGATATTGCAAAAGTGGAAGTGGAGGTGGCAAGTTCTATCTAAACAAGAGCTTTTGCTGCTGGGGTCTCGACGGTAAGCTGATGGTTCAAGTCTCTGCAAGTCTCACTACTGAATCTGGCTTTGATATAGATTACTCCAAGTGTCTGGACTGGACACCTTGGGGGAATGCATTAGGAGCGAACTCCAGTGGAGGAACATATACTGTTGGATACATCTTCTACGTCGTATTTTCGGTGATTATATCTGTCTCTTACCTTTAAAGCTCTATTGACAATATCTAGGTTTTCTTTGCTGCATGTGCTTGCTTCCTGGTGCGAAATTATGCCGTTTATGCTCGACACAGCGGAATTCCTGAGATCAAAACGATCCTCGGTGGAACTGTCATCCGACATTTTATGGGGCCGTGGACACTTGCCATTAAATCATTGGGGCTGGTGAGTCAAACTTCTTCTTGTTAGAAAACATCTTTGCTGACGAGACCAGTGTCTCTCTGTCGCATCCGGTTTATGGCTAGGCAAAGAAGGCCCACTTGTGCATGTTGCATGCTGCTGCGCGAATATCCTGATGAAACCTTTCGAAAGTCTGAGAGGCAATGAAGGTACGTTATTAATTTTCTATCTCTCTCGGCGCATTTACTCATTATCACAGCACGCAAGCGAGAGGTCCTTTCTGCGGCCGCCGCAGCGGGTATCTCAGTCGCATTCGGGGCCCCCATCGGAGGTGTTCTGTTTAGTTTGGAGGTATGAGCTATTGTCAATCTCGTGCTATTTACTTTGCTGATTTTTCCAGCAACTTTCATATTATTTCCCCGACAAGACCATGTGGCAAAGCTTTGTCTGTGCTATGGTTGCAGCTGTTACTTTGCAAGCCTTGAACCCATTCCGGACAGGTAAAATTGTGCTCTATCAGGTCACCTACACTCGAGGCTGGCACCGCTTCGAGATTATCCCATTCGTTATTCTTGGGATAATTGGCGGTCTCTACGGTGCATTCCTTATCCGCCTGAATACGAGAATCACCAAGTGGAGGCGCGCTCGAACTTCTAGTCGGCCAATCATCGAAGTGGTTGTTGTGGCTCTCATTACAGCTTTGGTCAATTATCCAAATCACTTCATGCGGGCTCAGAACTCGGAGCTTGTTCAGTCGCTGTTCGCCGAGTGCAATAGTGTGACATATGATCGATTTGGTCTCTGCGCAACAGGATCTGCCTCAATCGGCGTGGCAATCTACCTGGTCATTGCTGCTTTATTTGCCTTTTTCTTGGCTTCGTTGACATTTGGACTTGAGATCCCTGCTGGTATTATCCTTCCTTCGGTCGCTATCGGTGCTCTTTACGGGCGTGCTCTAGGCATTATAATCCGCTTGTGGCAAGAGTCTTATCCGAAAGCATTCCTGTTTAGCAAATGCGAGCCAGACATTCCATGTGTCACACCTGGCTTATATGCAATTATCGGCGCTGCTGCTGCTCTTGGTGGTGCTACTCGAATGACTTTGTCAATTGTTGTTATCATGTTTGAATTGACTGGCGCGTTGACTTATGTGATCCCGATCATGATTGCCGTGATGTTGTCCAAGTGGTGTGGTGACATCTTTGGAAAGCGAGGTATCTACGAGTCGTGGATTCGACTAAACGAGTATCCTTTCCTCGATCATCGCGATGACACCACTCCGCCAGACGTATCTGCCCACCGGGTCATGACAACGGTGGACGATATCAGCGTCATTACTGCTACCGGCCATACTATTGCCTCGATCCGCAACATCCTAGCTAACACTACGTATCGTGGGTTTCCAATAGTCTCCGACACATCAAGTCCCATCCTGCTAGGCTACATCACCCGCAATGAGCTTTCTTTTGCTCTGAAGTACTCGACCTCTGGCACCACCCGCAACCTCTCCGACGAGACACAGGTTTTCTTTTCGCATCAGCCTTTTGCGGATCCTATTGATACCCTTGATTTACGACCTTGGATGGACCAGACACCAATGACGTTGAACAGTAACATCACTTTCTTGATTGTTTTGCGAATGTTCCAGCGGCTTGGCTTGCGTTATGTGCTGTTTGCCAACAAGGGCATTCTACAAGGACTACTGACCAAGAAAGACGTCTGGTCAGTGCTGAATGGCGTGGAATTTCGCCGAGAAGAAGCCCTTCGAGACGAACAATTCCGGGACTTCGAAAATCGTAATGAGGCTGAAGAGGTTGGTTTGCTTGATGGGAATGATACGTCCAGTCTTGGTAGTTCGTTGAGGCGGGATTCTCTTTGATGATGTTTGCTACGTATTGCTCTGTACATCGGTTCTGTCACAATATTCACCAATATTCACTGCAAGTAAATGCCAGAGAACTTGCTACATTGAGGTAATTTACATTAGCTATGGTAGGTAGGTTATTGAAATAAAATTGTGGCTGCCCCACCGCCCTTTCCAACCCCACATCTTTCTGTCAATTTTTAAAACTGACCGCCTTCATGTTTACGGCTAACGATTTTCCAACCCTTGGGAAAGCCAGAAAACCGGAAGATAAAATGATGATCGATCCTTTTGAGGTGCGCATGCGCTTCACTACGCAGCTGCAGCACCTCAGCGCTGCTGTCACATCATCACAGAAGGCCGCCCATTATGCACTAAAGTACCGTGACCTCGATGAGGATCTTCACTCATGCATCCTAGAGCAGCTTGAAAGGGTAAGAGTTCCAATTTCCATTATGTTGGTCCATTCTGACCTTGTGTGTGGTAGAATAACATGAACAACCGTGCGAACATCATGTACTTTATCGAACACCTCTGCGAAATGGCCATCAAGGAAAACTACCTCCCATATGTGCGCATGATGCAGCGAGACATTCTGCGCGTGGTCGACTCGGTTGTTCCACCTGACGGCACTGGTGCAGCCAATGTCAAACACGTCCGCCACGTCCTAAACGGTCTTCGGGCTAAGGAAGTCCTCAGCGCCGAAACCGTGACCGAGATTGATGCGGCTCTGAAAGACCGCGATTCCCACCCCTCCCACCTGGATCTTGAACAAGATGAAGGCACCGAGGGAGGCAGCAAGTCGAAGTCTGAAAAGCCCCAACTGCGCCTTGACAAGAAGCAGATCGAGCAGCGCATCGAGGAGGACCGTGAGCGCAACAAGCGCCAGCGCGAGAGCATGTGGGCCATGACTGGCGGCGATCGAGACGAATATAATCAGATGTGGGAAGAGCTCAGCCCCATTGGGGAGGATGATTTTATCAGGTCTCGTGAGGAGGCCCTGGAACGCGCCGAGTGTGTTCGTAAGCACGAGGAGTTCTATAAGAACCTATACGGTATCAAGGAGTAATGACTCGGTAGGCACATCGATTGCTTCCTATGCTTTGCAATATGATTCCCAGGGCCTTATTTACGGGTCTAGGCGTTCAATTCGGAACTCTGCAGCGTTCTGGTCTTTTAATGGAGTCGATACACAGCGTGGTATCACTTGCATCTAGCTGCACAATATTCAAGGGTCATGCCATATGACTGAATATTCCACATTATTTCCTCATTTCGACTCACCTTAGCCCCTTCAGGAGGCCAAATATTTATTTTTACCACAAGTTTTATCCCAGCAGGCTTGCCCTGCAATCAGTATATAGGGGTTATACCTCATTGCATATATATTACTTGACTCCGCAACTAATATTAGTTTCTAGATGTACCACCTGCAATGAATTGCTTCGCTTATGCTTCCTGAATTCTATCTGGAGAAATACGGTAGTAAATATTAGGCAAATCTAGTCCTCAGGCGGTAATATACCTTGGGTTTGAGTTCGGTTCTCGTGTTGGACATCGACACGGCCTTTATATATTTTTGATGTAGTGGGACAAACCCGTTGTCTGCGCAGATATTTGGCGCCAGATAATGTTTCACAAAGCATAAATTTGATTTCCAAACTAGAAAAAGATAACTTAATTAATACAAAAGACAGACCCTACTTGCCCACCGAGTGAAAGTGAAGTAGATGCAGATGAAGCGAAGTGATAGCGGAGTTGCTTATCGTCTCCGCTCTCGGGAAATCCTGATCGCCGAGAGATTTTTTATTTTTGCTTCACCTCTCGATCAACTCGAGCAACCGCTTCCCCCATTTGGGTTTATTACTTTATTTCTCAAATTTCCTTTTCACTCTATGTTTGCTCACTTGGTCACTACTGCCAAGGGTCTATTTACGCGACAGTCCGACGAACAAGAGTCCCAACCCGCTGGCACCTCTGCCACCAATTCCAAGATGGTGACAGCTACCCGACGAGGAGATGTTGCGCCCGAAATTGCGAACGGGAAGCGCAAGGCACAATTGGCAAGTGCTAGCAAGAGCGAAGACCAACAGACCAAGCGGAGAAGAAGAAGCGATCCGAACTCTACTGGAACCGATCAAGATTCCATAAAACATACACTAGCAGAGAAATCCAGCGTAAATGCGGAGGAAGCACCTGCGGGCAAGAAGATCCGATTTGGTAGCGAAGAACCTGAACCACTCGAAATACAGCCGGAAGAAATCTCGGAAACACCAACCCAGGACGACGACGACGAAGATGATAGTGACGATGATGCACCAGAGACCATTGATAACTCTGCCCAGCTATTGAAAATGAAGGAGCAGGCTAAGAAGCAAGAAGCAGCCAAGCAATTGTACGGATTTCTTACTTCTGGTGAAGTTAATTTTGACTAATAATCTTTTTACAGAGAAGAGCAACTGAAGAGAGAGAAGCGACGGAAACTCGATGAGCATCGCAAGTTGCAAGCCAAATCGATTGTCAAGCCCAAGGAGGCTCCAGCAGATGACATGCTTTCCGAAAGCACGGCTACCCTCCAAGGCACAACTACCCAAGATGCACGACGAGCCGCTCTTCCTGCTTTGCTTCCCGATGACATTTTGAACGCCGAGTTCGCCATTCGACCCCCCACACCCCCCGCTGAAGATCAATTCGCCACGCCGAAGAAGTCAAATAAGTTGCGATTCTTGGATAAGCAGGACAAGCTTCCCAAGGACATCAACATGGGGGATGTTTCTATCCGGGTGCTGGATGCGCCGTCCTCAAAGAAGTCCTCGAAGCCCGCGCTGGCCCCCAAGATTTCCAAGGCCGGACGGAACCTCAAAGGTAGCATGCTTCAGAAGACGCGTGCCATAGCTCAGGGCAATGGCCTCCGACAGAAGGCAGGCGGTCCTTCTGGATTTGTTCGCCGGTGAGTTCGAAAATGTTGTACGGCCATCAAAAGCCAGTTTTATTCAGTGTCACATACCTTCAAACATAGCTGGAAGTTACATCTACCACCTGCTAGTTGTCAACGTGGGGGGGGCGGATGCTCACTTGCATCGACTGATGTTCCTCTCGGGGGTTTTCGATGCCCCCATTGGCGCAAATCGAACGTCGGTGTCAACTGGGCATGCAACAAACCCCGCGGCTACTGCAGCCATATTGTGATCAGTCATGAAAAACGGGATTCGTCCAAGTGTTGCTAGGGTTGCATGGTGTTCGGCGGGAGTGGAACCTGGTCTGCAATTCAACCTTGGGGAGTTATGTATATAGGATTCAGTCAACTATGCCCAATAATGTCTGGCAATAAATTAATTCAAAAACAAAATATAAATATAGACCATAGAACTCGAAATACAGAAAGGAGTCGCAAAGAAGCGCCAAGGGACCGGGCCGCACAGATTCTCAGATTATTAAGGCGGGCATGTGCTAACCTTAGCTTCCAAGGTTGCCAGCTTCCTCGAACTTTTCCCATCACTCTTTGCTTTTTCTGACCTGCAATCCCATTCGCCAATGGCCCTTGTCTTCTAACTCTACACCTTTCATTCTTTGCCATGGCGCCTGACGCAGAGAATTCTCCTCTGCTGCCGCAGCATCAGAACTCGGCCTCCAATACGTCACCACGAGCAAACCGGGCGCCGCGGTCGGTATCCTTCAATCCGCTCACACAAATCAGCACCTATGGCAGCACCGCCTCTACCTCCGATTCTACGTTCCGACCCTTGCAAGCAGGCTCACCACCTGTGCAGAATGTCAACGCCCAGGGAGGCCAGCCCCGTCCTGGCAGCCAGCCCATGCTCTCAGCATTAAACAGCAAGCTTCGTCGTCGCAATAGTCATGGTGCTCCCTTCAACCCCATGTCGCATCCATCACATGCGGCGTCTAAGATAGGGCCACAGCGAACAACAAAAAAAGCACAAAAACTAAAACTGTTGCCGGACCCTGTGACGGAAGAGGAAGAAGGGTCTGATGGAGATTTCCCTCGGGATGTCTATTCACAGATTACTCGCATCAAGGACCCCGCCGCACGAAGCCATGCTGCACGACTGGGCAAAGCCGACCGCGATCGCATACCTCGAGTGACAGCTTACTGCACGGCCAATTCGTATCGACTTGAAGGCGTTATCAAGTTCCTAAAGTCGCGGAGCAAGACTCGCGGAGCCAACCCCAAGCTGTATGATGAATGCGTCTACTCTCCTTTTGATTATCAGTACGAAGAAAAGCAGAACGCGCGGTTATTTCAAGATCCAAATGGCAACGGACACCATGAGAGGCGGCCAAGTGAAAGAAGATATTCGGATAGTGCGGTGGAGGTTGAAGACAATAAGAAGACCAGAAGAGAAGACTTGATCGATCTGCACGACGAGCGCAGTCATTCAAATGATAACGAGCAAGTAGTCGTCAAAGACACTCCTGATATTGACACCACAATCCATACACCCGAGGTATTCCTCTTCGACTACGGAACGGTCGTGATATGGGGAATGACGCCCGCGCAAGAATCAAGATTCTTGTCTGACATCTCCAAATTTGCGACCTCCATATTGAGTCCTGATGACACGCAGATTGAGAACTTCAATTTCTACTATGCGCGCGAGTACCAGGCCAGGATCTACAATGACTTCATCTCTCTACGCGATCCGCGCAACAACATGGTCAAGCTGGCGATCTCCCATGCTCTGGCCCAATCGGTCAAGACCTCGCTTTTCGAAGATCTTGTGTCGGAAACAATCACTGACACTGCACCGCTACCTGCCCAGATTGCGCAAACTGGTAGCGTCAATCTGACCCGTCGGCAAATCAACATGCAGATCGGAGAGCTCTTCATTCTCCGTATCAATATTCACTTGCAAGGATCTGTCCTCGATAGCCCAGAACTCTTTTGGGCAGAGCCGCAGTTGGAACCTGTCTACCAGGCAGTCCGAAGCTACCTGGAGATGGATCAGCGTGTCAGTCTGCTGACGGAGCGGTTGGATGTCATTGCGGATCTTCTTGCAGTCCTAAAGGATCAACTGACACATCGTCATGGCGAGTACCTCGAATGGATTGGTAAGTCTCCCCGCAGTTATGATTTCTAACAACGACCCATCTAACGAACACCAGTCATTGTCTTGATTGCCGCAGAGATTCTCGTAGCTGCAATCAACATTGTCGTCGATCTCTACGCTGGAGTAGACTAGAGTGACAGATAAGTACTCATCAACCAGTCCACACTCACTCAACCAATCAATTGTGCTGCGAATACTAGTCTTTCATGCTATGTATTATCAGCATATTGCTTATGTGCCTTGTCATACAATCCAGTCGGATTCTACATCGACATTTGCACAAGGAACACAGCATGCCAGAGGCAAACACGTAACAGGACTCCCCAGATGATATCCCAACCACATAGGGATTCCACACCCACCAGGTCTATTGTCTAATATTCCGATCATACCATCAACGGCTGCTTT